AGCATGAAAATCTGTCTCCTATGAGGATCTGTCCCCCTCCACGTATCTGCGCATGTGCCAGTTTCAGGCATTAGCAGCCGATCGGCGATCTCCGGCACATGCGCAGATACGTCGAGGGGGACAGATCCTCATAGGAAACAGATTTTCATGCTACACCAGTCTTCAGGGCGGACTGTGAGAGGAGCCTAGCTCCCCTCACGTTCGTCACGCTGCCCCGCCTACACACATCCTGACAGCCATCCTGACAGTATCACGCTCCGCGGGCCGGATTAAAAGGTCCGCCGGGCCGTATACGGCCCGCGGGCCGTAGTTTGCCCATTGCTGTTCTAGTTGCATATGAATTTGCACAATGTCACCTTATTGATGATTAATTATCTATATATGAATTTAGCATATATACATTATATTTGTGATTTTTACCAGCACTGCACCCTTTAGTATATTACTAGTCAGTACCAGTGTGCAAAAGTGTGTTGGATCTGGACAAATATTAGAATAGTTTTTCACATTTTAGAATGGGGTGCCCTTTTAAGATTCAGGATAGTCTCGAGGCACCCTTTAAAATTATGGACAGTCTTGAGGCACCCCATTCTAAAATGGGGTGCCTCAAGACTGTCCACAATTTTAAAGGGTGCTTCGGGACTGTCCAGGGCAAGACTGACAACTCATGGGGCCCCTGGGCAATAGGGAGATCATGGGGCCCCTGTGTCCTTGCCCAAGCTCAAAAAAGCCTATGAAAAATGTACCAGGGGCATCTCATGGGGCCCCCTACTGACCCCGGGCCCTTGGGCAGTGCCCGAGTTTCCAAATGGTCAGTCCGCCATTGGGACTGTCCATAATTTCAAAGGGTGCCGTGATTGAAAAAAGGTTGAGAAATACTTGTCTACTTTTAGGCCAGCTATGTGTGAAAGGGAGCAGTCTCTACCCCCCCCCCCCCCCCCCAACACAACATCATTATATAGAAAATTGCAGTGTGAGAATAGCCGTCTGCCACCTTCTGTAGAGTCTCAGATTCTGCAATCACCTGCACTCTATCAGTTTAATGTGATCTGTTGTGTATTCAGCAGAGAATTATTCCCAAAGGAGAGAAGTCTTTATTTGTTTTGCAGGATCTATGGAGCATCTGCTTCCATGAAGTAATCATCCCTCCGTATTATCCAGCAGCATATTTCAGACTCACAATGTTGTAATTGCTTTCAGATTCCTCTCAGATCTGAATTTACCGACCATCTGCTGGAGGCTGCAGACAGAGCAGCTTAAAAACATTGCGGGAAGGATGGGGTAGAACAGCGATGGTCAACTCGCTAGATTTAGATGACTTTGTGCTGCTAAAGAGAAGAAGGCTGGACCAAAATCTCTCTACCTCTTCCTGGAGGAACCCCTAAAATAACTTTCTGGTCTCAGGAAACCCCTGCTAATAATTACTATATCTACAGCTCACAGTACATTGGTGTGATGGTCAATAGGGATGAGCTCAGGCATGTTGAGATCCTAGCCTGAACCCACTTAAGTGAGTCTGCCAGGATAAGGTTGCCATTCTTCCCAGTTTCCAGGCCCAGTTCCCATTGTAAGGGGTCTGTTACTGGAAATGAGTGTCTCTGGAATCATCCATAGGAGCCAGGCAGCATAGAGTATACATTGAGGTGCACAGGCTCTAACTCAAGTCACGCTGCTCAAACATTATTCCAAAATGACGCAGCTAGAATGACCTGCGCATGAGTGGCAGTCCATGTTGTCACATAATGTCCCTTATCATGGTGCCCAAGGTATTTTATCTTTATACTGGCTCAGTAGTACCTCCACTTAGCAGATACTAGGGTACCTCTGTTCAGCATTGGTACCCTAGTTCAGCAGATCCACAACTTATTAGTACCCTCATTCAGCAGATCCCCTGTTCAGTAGTACCCCCAGCTCTGCTGATCCCCCACTCAATAGTAATCCCCAGCTCTGCTGATTCCCCATTCACTAGTAACCCCAAGCTCTGCTGATCCTACACTCAATAATAACCACCAGCTCTGCTGATCCCCCTTTCATTAGTAACTCCCTGCTCTGCTGATCCCCCACTTAATAGTAACCCCCAGCTCTGCTGATCCCCTGCTCAACAGTAACCCCCAGCTCTGCTGATCCCCCACTCAATAGTAACCCCCAGGTCTGCTGATCCCACACTCAATAGTAAACCCCCAGCTCTGCTGATCCCCCACTCAATAGTAACCCCCAGCTCTGTTGATTTCCCACTCAATAGAACCCCCAGCTCTGCTGATCTCCCACTTATTAGTAACCCACAGCTCTGCTGATCTCCCACTCATTAGTAACCCCCAGCTCTGCTGATCTCCCACTCATTAGTGACCCCAAGCTCTGCTGATCTCCCACTCATTAGTAACCCCCGGCTCTGCTGATCTCCCACTCATTAGTAACCCCCAGCTCTGCTGATCTCCCACTCATTAGTAACCCCCAGCTCTGCTGATCCCCTGGTTTGCTAATCCTCCTCTCTCTCTAGTCCCCACTCACCTTGCGCTATATTGCTCCCATGCTGTGCAACATGTGACATTACTAGTTTCTCCTGCTCTGGTCCCAGCTCTGCTGATCCTTCACTGCTCAGTCCTCTTTCTGTGGTCCCCGCTCACCTTCCACTATAGCTTTCCCATGTTGCACACAATGTGTGCCATCTGCTAGTTGCTCTGCTTCAGTCCGGACCACGCTCACCTTCCTGCTGTTTCATGTTTGCACTCCAGATGTGACATCTGCCCAGACACTTCCAGAATATATACATGAACTGGAAGTGAATGCTGATGATGTCTTTCTGGTTCCTTTATTGGTCTTCCAGTGCATCCTTGGATATCTCATACCTGAAATACCTCTAAAACAAAGTGAAGCTAAAGCTGAATAAAAGCTGTAGGTGCTGTAAGCAAGTTTTGTCATAGACTTCTATGGAGGCTTTGAAAACGTTTGAAGCACCATGAAAGCGACATGTGGTATAATTTTTTGAAGCAAAGCAAAGCAATCACAACATGTGAACAGGACTGTAAGATAACCATTTTATTTAGTGAAATGGGCTTTGATTGGCATTCAGAGTGCTTTAAAAAATCATGTCCAATGCCTTATTATGAAGAAATTGCCCCTTGTTCCAAACGTCTCTGTGACCAATTGTTTCAGAGCATGTTAAAAATGGAGACATGATTTTGTGAGTGTGGCTGCAAATGAGGGTGTGGTTTTGTAGGTGTGGTTAAAAGTGGGAGTGGTTAATCCACATGTATTCATGCCCCTTATACATGTGCAGCAGCTGGATAGGGAATTCCTGAAAAGTGCAGGACCCTTTTTTTGTCCACACCAGAATCTGATCGCATGGGTGTTCACACTCATGCGATCCGATTCTGCACATCGCACCGTGTTTTGCGAGCTGAGTTCGGGGTGTCAACTTAAAGTACTCACCTGCAGCGGTTTGTATGAATTGGTGCGATTATGATGCGATGCGGAAATCGCACAGAAACCAGTGTGAATTCCGCACCACATCCGTGGGAACCCAGGCTCATTGATAATGATAAACAGGAAAAATAGAGAGGGTGAATCTCCCTAACGGAGGCAGCAATAACAACCAGAGGTCTAATCCCTCTCCACTCTTTCCAAAACTTAAAAAAAGTTTTGTCTATAGTTACACTTTATTCTTTCTTGTATTCCAACTATCTAACAGTGGTTTCTATTGCATTAATACAGGGGTCTCCAAACTTTAGAAACAAAGAGCCAGTTTACTGCCCTTCAAACTTTAGGGGGGCCAGATTGTGGCCAGGGGGAGTACAAAATGCCCTGGCATCAGTGTGAGTAAACAGTACTCTAGGCTTGGTGGTCAGTGGGAGGAACAGTGCCCCATCTTTGGTGTCAGTGGGATAATTAGTTACCCATTTCTGGTATCAGTGGGAAGAACAGTGCCCTGCTGCTGGTGTCAGTGGGAGGAACAGTGCCCCGTCTCTGGGGTCAGTGGGAGGAACAACGCCCTGTCATTGGGGTCAGTGGGAGGAACAGTGCCCCATCGTTGGAGGTCAGTGGGAGGAACAGTGCCCCGTCATTGGAGTCAGTGGGAGGAACAGTGCCCCGTCGTTGGGGGTCAGTGGGAGGAACAGTGCCCCGTCGTTGGGGGTCAGTGGGAGGAACAGTGCCCCATTGTTGGGGTCAGTGGGAGGAAATATGCCCCGTCGTTGGGGTCAGTGGGAGGAACAATGCCCCATCATTGGGGTCAGTGGGAGGAACAGTGTCCCATCTTTGCTGTCAGTGGGATAATTAGCTCCCCATTTCTGGTATCAGTGGAAAGAACAGTGCCCCGTTGCTGGTGTCAGTGGGAGGAACAGTGCTCCATCGTTGGGGTCAGTGGGAGGAACAGTGCCCCATTGCTGGTGTCAGTGGCAGGAACAGCCCCCATTGTTGGGGTCAGTGGGAGCAATAGTGCCCCATTATTGGGGTCAGTGGGAGGAACAGTGCCCCATCGCTGGTGTCAATGGGAGGAACAGTGCTCCATCGTTGGGGTCAGTGGGAGGAACAGCACCCTGTAGTTAGGGTCAGTGGGAGAAACAGCACCCTGTATTTGGGGTCAGTGGGAGGAACAGTGCCCCATCGTTGGGGTCAATGGGAGGAACAGCGCCCTGTAGTTGGGGTCAGTGGGAGAAACAATGCCCCATCATTGTTGTCAGTGGGAGGAATTGTGCCCAATCGTTGGTGTCAGTGGGAGTAATAGCGCCCCATCGTTGGTGTGAGTAGGAGGAATAGTGCCCCATTGTTGGTGTCAGTAGGTGGAATAGCATATCATCATTGGTATCAATGGTAGGAATAGTGCTTCATATCAGTGGAAGGAAAAGTACCACAAGGGCTGGATAAAAGCAAGCAAAGGGCCACATCCAGCCCACGGGCCGCAGTTTGGAGACCCCTGCATTAGCAGGTCAGATTTTAGTATTCATCATTGAAGGGTCATTTCTTGTTGCAATGCGAGTAACAATAATGTCTGCTTTCTCTAGCTATGATGAGTGCGTGGTACCAGGAACCTCAGGATCATACCTTCCCACTGACGAGCCTCCACCGTACTCCTTGGAAGACCCACAACAGCTTCCACATGATCTGGCACTCAGCTCCAGCACAGAAGAGATTGCTCCGAGATCACATGAAAACACAGAAAATAATCTGATCACCGCTCCCTTGTCTGCTGATGGCCTCCATGATGATTCGCCAAGAAGAACCACAACCAAGACAAGCCTACACCTTCCTGTTATACCAATAGACATCCAGAAAGGCATGGCGTCACCCACCACTCTAGTCCTATAGGAAACGGCTCAATTCCAGCCATTTTTTTTGTTTTGGTTTGAGTGAGGATGGGTAGGAACCTCTGTCCTGTTTTATCCGTCATCTGTGTTCCTGATTTCACCTCACTTATAGGCCTGGGTCACACCTATCCGTGTTGCGTTTGATGTGTTTTTCCAGTGCGATTTGTGTTTTTGAACACACAATTTTGATATGTTTCACTTTTTTTTTTTGTCAAGAGGAAAGTATTGAGCACGACTTTGTTGAGACTTGCAACTTTACATTCTCTGGCACTCAAAGTCACATCAGACTTGTTCAGGAACCTTTTCAACTACTTTGATGTGACTTTACACTCTCTGGCACTCAAAGTTGCAAAAGAGTAGTGCAGGAAGCTTTTCAAACTCACTGCGACTTGACTTGAATGCCAGAGAATGTACAGGCCCTCAGAGTCGCATCAAAGGTGCATCTAAGTTGCACTAAATACTTTCCTATTGGCAAAAAAAAAACACATCACAAAGGGCATCAAAACCCTAACACTTGGTTCCAATGAAGTCTATTCCACCAGAAACACAATCTGCTGTGGGAAAGAAAGCCCCTGACCCTTTCCAAAAATGCAAAGGCTGAAAATGCATAAATGTGGATATGTCCCATAGGAAACCATGTTAAATCCACTGACACCAACAATGGGGCCTACTTCCTTCCACTGACACCAATGATAAGGCATAATTCCTTCCACTGGCACCAACAATGGGGCATACTTCCTTCCACTGACACCAATGATGGGGCATAATTCCTTCCACTGGCACCAACAATGGGGCATACTTCCTTCCACTGACACCAATGATGGGGCATAATTCCTTCCACTGACACCAAGAATTGGGCACTATTCCACCCACTGGCAGCAACTATGTCTCCCCCTAATACCAAAGATTGGACATTGTTTACTCCAACTGGGCACATCCGGCCCCTCTAAAGTCTGAAGGACAGTAAAATGGCCCTTTCGTTGGAAAGTTTGGAGACCCCTGGGCTGCAGAAACAGCAGAGAAAACCTGACAGAGGTTCCAACCCTTTCCAATTCTGTCCCAAACGAAAAACAAAAATTGGCTGCAGTTGCCTTTAAAGGCTAAGTGCACTTTAAATCAAAGTGCACTTATCCTTCAGGCCCCCTTTCCCTGACCTAACCTAACCCATCATCCTCCTCAACAGATGCATAATTACCTACATCCAATGGCTGCGGTTCTGTTGTTTGTTTACATCCAGCAGCACAAGCCTTCACTGCCCTGGCCGCACCTGCACATTACAGCCTCACAAACATCTATGGGTGGGCTTCCAATCACCTCCAGCCTCAAGATACAGCCCTATAGAAGTGCATAGAGCACTAATGGGTAGGTACGGCCAGGACATTGAAGAAGTGCCTGATAAGTGTAAACAAACAACAGACTCACAGCTGTTGGATGCAGGTAAGTATGTATCCTTGGGTGAGGGTGGGTTCATTGGGTCAGGGGAAGGAGTCAAAATGATAAATGCATTTTGTTTAACCACTTGCCCTCCTGAGGATTTCCCCCCTTCCTGACCAGGCCATCTTTTGCGTTACGGACAGGGGCGGACTGACCATTTGGAAACTCGGGCACTGAGATGCCCCTGGTACCTTTTTCATAGGCTTTTTTGAGTTTGGGCAAGGACACAGGGGCCCCATGATCCCCTGTTGCCTGGGGGCCCCATGAGTTGTCAGTCTGCCCCTGGTTTCGGCGCTGCATTCCTTTAACTGACAATTACGTGGTCATGTAACTCCGCACCCTGATGAAATTTACTTTCTTTTTTTTAGCTTTCTTTTGGTGGTATTTGATCGCCTGTGCACTTTTTATTTTTTACGCTATAAGCAAAATAATTTCGAGAAAAAACAATATTTTGGACTTTTTGCTATTAAATATGTCCAGTAAAAAAAATTTTAAAAATCAAATTTCGTCGTAAATTTAGGCCAAAATGTATTTCGCTACATATCTTTGCTAAAAAAAAATCCCAATAGGTGCAAATTAATTGGTTTATGTGAAAGTTATAGCATTTACAAATGGCGCTATAGAAACTGGGATTTATTTTTTTCCCTACTATTAATGGCGGCGATCTGCGACGTTTAGCAGGACTGTGGGACTGCAGTGGCATTCTGACACTGAGGTGGAATTAATTTGGTGTCACTGACATCCCCAGTGACACCAATACAGAGATCAGTGCTAAAAAAAAAGCACTGACACTGTACTAATGGTACTGGGCAGGAGGGGGTTAATGTGAGGGGCGATCAAAGGGTTAACTGTGTGTAGGGAGTGTTTTACTAGGGGGGCAGGGTGTGTGCTTCACTGTAAGCACACTGATCGGGATGACTGTGCTGTGCAGTGTGCCCGAGCTGACAAAGAAGAAGACTGTTTGTAAACAAAACAGTCCTCCTCCCCGTCTGTGATTGTTGGTAATCACCGAGCACCGGCGGGTAATCACCGGCCGGGACCTGGTGACTGACATCCACAGGCGCCCCCTACCCGGAAATGCAAAATCACGCACTGTATATATACATGATTTTGCACACCCGTGCCGCCGTGCAGCAGTATATCTGCTATACAGCGGTGGGGAAGCAGTTAAAGTGCTCTTACCTTTTAAAGAGTTGTGTTAAACAGCATAGCAGCTATGTGGTCTGCAGTACTGTGGTCTGGGTTAGATTTCCACCTGGGGCATTATCTGCATGTAGTATGTATTTCCTACCTGTGTTTTTGTATCTCTTTGTTGCTCTTGCATCCTCCCCCTAAAAAAGATAAAAAGAAAAAAAAACAAACAAACATGTTAATAGGTTGAATTCCTAGTATAGAAAAATACTTAACACCAGGGAAAGGACAAGTGGGGGGGGCAGGAGGGGCAGCCGCCCTGGGTGCAGCACCCTCATGCAGGAGGGGAACGCGCCCCATGCACACTTAAGATCAGTGGCTGATCTGTCTGCTTTGACTGCTGTCACACCTTGTCCACTATCCACCACAACCCACAGCCGACATTAAAAACATACCATACAATTGGCCATGCACACACATGTGAACCATGGGAAGTTAGACCATCGCAGGCAGAGGCATCCCAAGGGTTGGTGACACCCAGTGCTGTAACACGTAGTGTCACCCCTCCAGAGAGGAAGGAGCGGTGCCGATGTAGAGGTAAAATGAGTATCCCTTGAAGATATGTATCCCCTGAAGCAACTGCGCATGTGCTGGTTTTAGGCCGAAGAAGCCAATCTTTGACTTTAGCACAGAGCCGGCAATCGGCTTCTTCGGCTTGAAACCGGCACATGCACAGTTGCTTCAGGGGATACTTACCACTACACCGGGGTGGGGGCAGCTGTCACTGTGCTGGCATCCTGCTCCTGTACCCCCTGTGATGGTGTCACGTGGTGTGGCCCGCACCAACCGCACCCCCCTAGGGACACCACTGATGGTGGGTAAAGAATGTCTTCGGGGCGGTACGCCCATGATACGTCTTTAATTAGCAGCAGGGGAGGGGGGTTGCAACTCCACATCCTTGTCTTGAGCACTGGACAACCTTGTCCTGGTACTACTCAGCACTAATGTAGCCAAACCTTGTAAGAAAAAAAAAAAAAAGCAACACATTGTTCTGATAGGACAACCATTCATATAGTCATCAAAAACATTGCGTCAGATATAATGCCAGGAATGAACAGGAGAAAGCAAAAAATCTGTATGTATTGCTTTCATTTTTACCTTCACCAAAAAGTTCCAAACATAGAATGAACAAGCTGCATATAATATATAACTAGTATATCCCCCTTCCTCCAATATTATTGGTTGATCTTTGTGCCACTTAGCTCACTATACAAACTGCAATGTATATCTGTAACCTTTTTGTTGGATACATTGGGTGGGTCCTCATACTTCTTAGTTTTGGTAAATCTGAGGGTTACCTAACAAGTTACAATCTGGCTGTACAATCAGAAAAAAAACGAATATCGTAATCTAACCAAGCAAGTTGTATCCAATCAGGCAGGCCCTTGTACTACATCCACTTCCAGACCAGTAAAGTACCGGTACATCATTGGACTTCAAGTGGTTATACTGGGATGATGCTCACAGGCATCATCCCTCTAATGTTTTTTATTGCATACGATTGTAAAAGCAATCCTAGCGGCTAACTAGCTGCTGGATCACCTTTACAAGCAGTAGAAGGGGATGTCACCCCTCCCCCCGCTGCCTTCCGCAGATTTTTCGGGCGATCCCGTTCCACCAGAACACTCGATCGTCCACCCGACACTTCTGCCGCTGATCATAGAGGTGAACAAAGACCGGAACTGCTCTGTTTGCATCTATAACAGGGGTGGCCCTCCAGCTGTTGGTGAACTACAAGTCCCATCATGCCTCTGCCTTTGGGAGTCATGCTTGTAATCCTTTTCATTTGATGTCCTATCATGCCTCTGCCTTTGGGAGTCATGCTTGTAACTGTCAGTTTTGCAATGCATCATGGGACTTGTAGTTTTAGAACAGCTGGAGTGCCACAGTTGCCCACCCCTGCTCTATGATATAGGAGCATACATCACTTCCAGTTTCCCCAGATGTAAATGGCGCCATTTTTAAAAATGAAAAGGATTCCATCACGTCGATCTTGGTGTGATCAAATGCTTTTAAAGGCAGAGGAGGGATTGGGGGTCTTATTGACTACAGATCTCTCCATAAAGAGTACCTGTCACTGAATGTTGCTGTCACAAGGGATGTTTATATTCCTTGTGACAGCAATAAAAGTGACCGAAAAACCAAAAAAATAAAGCGACGGTGTAAAAATTAAAAAAAAAATTGAAAAGGTTGAAAGCGTCCAGCCCCCCAATGCTTGTGCGCAAAGGCGAACACATGTGTCAATCCTACACACACACAATCAGCAATCGCCCCACATATGTGACTTATCAGATCACAGGCAGTAATTCTAGCAGTAGACTTCTGTTATCAGCCGATTTTTTTGTCCGAAAAACTAAACATCGGTCGTTCTGTTGC